TGGGAGTCAGCTGAGCGCTGTGGTGTGCATTTTTCTGGGACTTATACCATAGTGACTTATCTAAATGGCAAACCTAAGATAGTATGAACCTGTGATATCTCGGCAGAGCAATTAAGAAACTATATATAACATATAAGCTCCAGCCATAGGCATCGTTCTCTTTCGCAATACATAAACAGTGTGTATGGTATGTAGCCATGCTTCCCCTTATTTTATAGTACTATAAAGATATATAGAGAATATTAAGACATTAGAACACATAAAACATTTATTATTTTTCACAGGTGTATGCCCACCTTCATACAGGTGGCTCAGTTAAAATGATCAGACTGGGTGCATGGGTATCGCTTACCTGGGGAAGAGATGGCACCAGGATGCACTATGGGAAGAAGGCAAGCTGACAGAGGCAGTGTGATGTTTTGGGCAATGTTCTGCTGGCAAACCTTGGGTCCTGCCATTCATGCGGATGTTACTTTGACATGTGCCACCTACCTAAATATTGTTGCTGACCACTAGTGACATTCGTATATATATCTTTTTAAGAAAGACCAGAAAATTCACCTTCATGAAAGCATGGCTTTCAAGAACAATTTTGGATTTACAGGTGTTGGGGCCGTACGGTGGCTGTTCTAAATTATAAAACTGAAAGGGGTTTCAGGCTATGACTGACTTCGCCTTCCTAAAAGTCAACCTCTAACAAACTAAGGTGCTTTAAACTGAGCAGATAACAAAAATGCAACAAGGACTCTGTAGTTTGCATAAACAGAGGTTCCATTCCTTGAAAAGAGCCCATGGAAACAATTAGTAGATACTCTATATGGGCAACTGCATGCACATTGTGCCTTTTCTTGTAAAACCGGAGCTGGACCTCATCCCTAACCCCCTCCCAGGTCTCCCTATTGTTCCTTTAGTATGATAGAAGGCCTCTTTGAGCAATAATCAGATGTGATGTGCTCTGCCATGTGTAGCAGGTAGCGTATTAGCTTTTATAGGAGCGCTGAGGGCTGTTTGTGTTTCTTTAACACTAGTAGGGCTAAGATGAGCTGGCTGTTAGGGAAAATTGCAGCCAAGCTTATTTATTTTATTGACTAGCTTGGAACTTATTTGTCTGGGCGATGGCTTCTTTTAGACTAGACCTCAGATTTCAAATGGCGCTCAGTTTTTCAATGAAAATTCACAAGCTAAGAGATGTGAAAAATTGAACAACCCCTTCATAAGGGAGGCCTCTGCCTGTGAGAGCTTACAACTTGTTAGGGTAAAGAGGAGAGATAAAGAAGGAATAACTGTTGAAACTTAGGTGGACCAACCAAATCGGCACAATACATCTTTGTAAGAGCTTGGTTTAAGGGTTGTGAGGATGCAAGCTCTTGTACTTTTATGCCTATATTTTCTAGTTGAATAGTTATAGTTGAATTTGACCCAGACTGTATTTGCGCAGCCTAGATTTTTGTGTAACTTTGTTACTGGCCACAGATAGGTAAGTGCTACAGAAGAGAGGTGGTGGGATAGAATTTAAGAAACTTGCAAGTTATGCTAAATGGCTTGGTTTGCCATGATGTTGCCATGGCTTCCAGCATCATGACATTATTGTAGTGCAGTTGCAGTGACATCATAATTTTTGCTAATTTGCTGCACACCCTGTAAGATTTGGGGTACACTGTTGGCACCCTATGTGGTAGACAGATGACTTACCTCTATGCTAGGAAGACAATATGGAAGGTTTTTTATTGGTTGGCATTTTAACTTGCCCGTTGTACAATCCCAGCATTCTTATGAGTCTGCTTCATAAGCAATCACTGTATTTCCTTACCCAAGTCTAAATCTGCTAAGAGTACTTGCTAAAGTCTTTTTCCTCCTCAATGTGTTTATCTGTGTACCAAACGTAGCATGTGACCCCAATCCTGAGCCTTTTGTGCCTGCCTTGAGTCTATCTGCTCTTAGACTCAAACAGGACTCAGGATAGTATGCTGTTTCACCAGTCTTTGCATGTGGGACCAATTTCATTTTTTAGAGGTTTTCTATGCTGAGCATAACTGGTAAGCTGGCCAAACAATTAACAAATTTTGCTCAGTGGGTGGCTCTGTCAGCAGCCTTCTCCTAACATCCTTCAATCTCTAAATTAAAGGAGCAGGATGGAAGATTCTCAGCCAAACAGTAACTGCAGCCAATCATCTGCAGTCACTGTTCAGGTATTTTGATAGCGGCACAGCTGCCACTGTCAGAATACAGTAGCCCAGAAGGCAGGAGCGTAACTAGAAATCACAGGACCCCATAGCAAAATTTTGTATGGGGCCCTGTGATTTCTAGTTACGCCCACCTGATAACCCAATCAGCCCACCTAAGGGTGACGCTGCAGAGCCCACCACAGACTCTCTATGGTAGGCTCTGCAGGGTCTCAGGCGGGCGGTCAAGCCCTCTTACCTGTCAGCCCTGATCCTCTGTCTGCCTCCTTCTCCTCCACGATCAACTCTTCCGTCACTGGGCCCCGCCTCCTCGATCGCCAGGTCCCGCCCCCTCGATCGCCGGGCACCACCCCTCGATCGCCGGGCACCGCCTCCTCGATCACTGCCGATGACGGGCACAGCCACCTCCTGCGAAGCTGCTGGTTGTCACCAACTCAGCAGCGGCTGTGAGAAGGAATGGAGCGTTCCTCCTCACAGCCGCCAGTGACAGCCAGCAGCCTGGCTGTCCGAGCAAGATGCCATAGCGACCCAGGCGGCCCGCATGGCATCAGGGAGATGTCCTGGCCGGGCCCCGCCGGGCCTCGGGCCCCATAGCGGCCGCCTGGGTCGCTATGGTGATTGTTACGCCACTGCCAGAAGGAGATTTTTCTATTAACTGTTTGGTGTGGATAGAGCCCTCTGAAAAGTAACAGTGTATGGCCATCGTTAAGCATGGCCCAAGAACAAGAAGGGGTTTTAAAAGGCCGCAGAGCACCATGACTGATTGTGAAGAAGACCAATAAAAAGACTGGGATTGCACAACAAGCGAGAAAAAATATAATACAATAAAATCCCTCCAGGTGACCTTCTAGCGCAAAGGCAAGACAATATACCACATGGTCCCAGGTTCCACACCAAGCAAACTCTCAACAGGGATATATTGTTCTGTTCAGCCATTCTTTTCCCACTCTATAGCCAGGAGATCCTGTGTTCTGTGACCACTTAGTGTTATAACCAATGATGTAAAAGTCCAAACTCCAAGTGTGCTCTTTAGAATTTAAGGACTGTAAAGAGCCAACACATTTCGGGGGTTACAAAATACTTCACCTTCATCTGGGCTTTTCAATACTGAAAGATGGGATCCAGACCCAGAGAAAAGGAGAAGTGGAGATGTTGCTACAGCAAAGCTCTGCTTGGGTGGGATCCAGCCCCACAAAATACTTAACTTCCATTACATGCATAGCCAGGATGATTACTCATTACTACTTCTTGGTTCGGATGCACTGCTTCCTAAATCACCTCCCTGGTCATTGAACAGATGTGATGATGATGCTGCTTCATTGTCCTGTACATGGGCTAGAGATGTAGAGGTGACATAGAAAGCTCAAAGGAAGGAAATAAGCATGTCCCATGCCTAGGTGTACAGTGTACAAATGTATGTAAATCTCAACACCTGCTGAAATAAATTACAAATAGAGTTCCGCTTTAAAGGCTGTCTGTGGCTATAGAACAAGCATTATCATGCAAAGTTTTTTCTTTGATGGTTTATTTAAGACAATACAAATTTCTGTTAGCACTATTTGCCACTATATAGATTTTAAGAAGGAACCAGCCACTTTAAATCACAGTAAAGTGAAGAAGGACTTTACACTTTGCATCACAGTTATCTTGGCCTTGTACCGTATCATCCTTGTATCATCCATGTGAGTTTTTATGGCAATAGCACCCTCCTGATTTTTATTGAAGGCCACATGATAGGAGGGGAAGGTCATGTATGTCTCTTTCATCCAGCCATAAATCTGCTCATAACTCATATGTAACATTACAACATTAAGTGTTGTATTCCACATATGGCAGCCTAAGCTAGACATATAAAACACTTTGAACCATGAAGGAGATGTTTGACTTATGTCATAATAGGATGTTGAATATCATGAGGCTCTTGGTATCCTGCATTCCCTTTGCCCATAATATTAGAGACATGCAGAGTTGGCAATCAACCATGTCCATCTAAAATATACTTTAAACACATGAACATTAAAGGATAACACATATGTAAGACATTAATGAAATGAAACCAAAGAAAAAGGCAACATCTATTTTTCCATATATAGAAAGTGCTAATAGTTTTTTGTGTTTTAATCCATAAGTAAAGTCTGTTAGAGGTACCTGATCTCATCGAACTGCTTGAAGTCATTATCAATAACCTTCACAACATGTAACAGGTCTTTGAGACACTTTTTATTTAAAGTCCCATATTTCACTTTACAGTAGGAAAATGCTATAACTTTGAATATAAGTGCCGAGTTTTATTGTTTAACAATTTGATATCCTCAGATCTTGAAAGTAAAGGGTTTACTTTCCCCTTAACCGCAGACGTTCATACATGCTGGAAACAATCTGCCTAACACACAGTCTTCTTGCACCTGCACTCCAAAGTAACAGGATGAGTTCATTGATAAAACTGTATGCCTTTTTGCCCCGGCACAGAGCTAGCAAATGAACTTTATAAATAATCTGTGAAGCGAGTGAAGGGACAGACAGACAGACAAACAGAGAATGAGAGAGACAGATACACACAGAAAGGAGAATTCTACACCCCCCCCCCCCCCCCCCCCCCTTTCCCTGGCTCTGCTCCCATGTCTATTTCAGCCAGAATTGCAGAACTGCAGCCAAGAAAAATGAAAAAAAAAAAGAAAGAAAGAAAAGGAAAAAAAAGGAAACAAAACAAAATAAAATATCCCCCCTCCTCTCCCAATAATAAGGGGGGTGGGATGGGGCTGTTGGCACTGTTAGAATGACGTCGTGTCTCTTGCTGCCCCTCCCTAATTGGGGACGTGAGCTGAGCGGCGGGATAAAACCCAGCATGTGTGAAGGGACGGGGGCATTGTGAGACATGGAGAGCATACGGCCTGCCGCTCCACTGCGGAGCATTATCCTGCTGCTCGCCTTCTGCCAAAGTACCCTGCAAGGAGGTGAGTTGCTTTGCACTGCTTTGCACTTTATCCTAATTCTCTACTGTGTTCAGAGATACAGCATAGCCACCTAATGCTATGCAATTCACTGTCTTATGCACACTAAAGTTTTCCTTGTGTTATACTTTAAATTGTTTTTGCTAGTATGCAGGACATTATTAGCACTAGGTTATCAGACACAAAACAATATTTCTAAAATTGCTCAGATTCTTCTTCCACGTCCTAACAACACTGCAAACACAATATTCTTTATTTGACATAGCAATGCATTATGAAAGCTTAGAAAAACATAAGCAGCTTTATCTAATGAGACAGTAATAACACAAAGCAACCAATCAGAATCTAGTAAAATGTAGGCAGGATTGCTAACAGACCACATTGTAGACTTGACAAGTGTAGAAGAGGTTGAAGATGAAATGGCACACACGGAGTGATATGTAGGTGACTCACAGCAACCAAAACAATTAATCTTTTACTGACAACAGTAAACCGAAATTTGACAGGTAGCTATAAGTTAATGAGTCGTGCACAAATAGTTGCTGATCTTTGTGTTAGCTTTCTAAGTGAGTATGAGCAGCAGTAAAATCTCCTAGCCTATAACTTTATATAACGTTAACTTTCTATTTCACAAATATTATCATTCCTAGTGCAAGCTAAAACCTCTTACCTTATAGAAATCCTGTCCTGGCCTCTGCACAGCATTAGGATATGTTCCAACTAGCCCTTCAGGGAATCCCACTCTACTTAGAAGCATCCTGCTTTCTCACATTGGCCCTTTCTCCAACCTCAGCTGCTCATGCACACAACATAATCTTACAACTGAGGACGTAGTATAAGCCAGTGCTTGACTCTTGAAGTAACTAATGTTTTTGCATACACATGTGAAATCACTCAGTTTACACATGAAACTGATATTCCCAAGCAGTGTAAAGAAGCCTAAGCAGTGCAGGGCCCTGTGAACGACACACAGTACCTGTTTAAGATGAAAGGCTTACAGTCAGACACACTTGTTAAGTAGTGCAGACACATAGCAGGACCTTTCCTGGATTTTACCCTCTGCTCCTTTATTTATAACCCATACACTACCAGGGTTTTAGTGATAGATAATAAGAATAGATGAACTGTAGACAGTATTCTGTAAAGCCTACTGGGTGCCATCAAACTAATTAAGAAAGAAAGGTGTTTTAGTTTTATCCTTTATGTAATTGTGACTATCTATACCCTTGCTAATTATTAACTGGCATGTCCATGCATGGTGTGCCAATCTATACCTCTCTAATGACATATGGAAGACAGAGCAAGCAGAAACTATCCCCCAGAAAACAAAAAAACTCAAAAACACACAGGCATGTAAAAAGTATTCCTTATGATTCCTTTTTTTGATAATTTAGTCTTGTTCATTAAACAGATTAAATGTACACAGGAAAGTTTAGCAGTTAAGCATATAGATTGTACATACCTGTCACATCTAGTACTGCACATCTGCTCGGATACGAGTCTGAAATAAGTCATCTACATCTTTCATGTCCAAAAAAAAAAGGCAGATTTGATGAAGCAGGAATTTTGGCATTTGACTTAGCAGAGTTTAAACACAGCAGTAAGTTAGTTGATTGAGTTGTACAGTGAGATGAATACTATAGCACGCATAGAGGGCTGGGTCTAGCCTCTCGGAGGAAGCAAGTGTATGAATCACTGCCAAGTTTACATGGATAGTAAGTGCATTTGAAAGTGCATTTCACAGTGATTTACAACGTATGTCCTATTTATTGGACAAAGCTGTGCATGCTGGAGGAGTTGAAATGTACATTTCACACTAATTAAGGATGATGTCATTTAGTACATAGGTAATGCTTACATGTAAACATATTTCACATTACAGAGACGACTTGTGCAAAGACAGATGAATCTGAGATGTTTTAAATAGTGTGTTATATAACGCAAACACATTTAGCCTTTATGTTTTATAGGCATTTTTTTCACAATCTTTTATGGAATATGATACCGCAGACTGGTAGATCAAGGGATTGATCTAAGCACATGAGATATAGTCATGCAAATGGCAATTATGATGTGACTTTAACATTCATCATTGTAGAGCTGATGTTTGTTTGCTATGGGTTGCTTTGGGTTAGTTAATACGGACTTATTTAATACAACGTGTTTAGAATCCTATCCAACGACTGTAGAGTCAGGGTTATACAGAACCTGTGCATACCATACATAACAGAGTGTAAACAAGATGAAAGTGTGCAGGCACAGTTAATCCATTTGTTTTTCTATCCACCATGTCCAATGCATTGGCTTAGCCTTTCCCACCGCCAAAAATCAAATGTTTTAAATTAAACTTTAACCGTATAAACATTTCCCTTTTTGCTAGGCTTTTACCGCTGAATAAGTGTACACTGAGCATGATAATTACTGAATTGTCTATATTTAGTCATCTTTAATGATGGGAAAACTTGACATTCTAAGAATTTCTAGCCCTAAACTTTGTTTTGCCTGGACGCACCATTGACTGCAAACTGCCATAATGTTCAATGGAACTTCAGTTAACTTATGGTGACTTTATATTTAATCTTTTGTATGTTCCTTAAAGCAAATGTGTTAATGTTTTACAGAGGTGCATGTTATTGTAGCCCAGTCTACTAAAAATAACCCTGGTTAGGTCTAAAGGAAAGCTGTCATGACAGAATTTTTAAAGGGTACAATTATTACCTTACTTTAAATATGCTGACTGCCTTGCTTTCATGACTACCCTCTGATTTGACCAGTTTGTGAGTCACTGACCAAGGACAAGCATTCAGCAAGTCATAACTCCTGATCTGCATACTTTTTCCATGACAGTGGCTCAGTCTTGGGGCAACTGGATCAAACCTGACATCCAGACATTCAGCAATTTCTGAAGGAGAAGTTCAGAATAATTCTCTTACTTTTGTTTCTAGTTAGTAATTATATGTACACTGAGCAGCCATATTTACTCATTGCATATAGAGTCTGTGAGCAAGAGTGCATGGTGATTGTGTTTTACATTTCCTCTTCCTTCTCCACTCAGATGTGTAAGTCAGCTCATGTACTGAAAACAATGCAAATACATCTGCCACTATCTTTTCTTAGCAGTCCTTTAGCAAGGATGCTAACTGCATTTGTCTGGCATACAAACAGCCACTAGAGGGAGATTCAACAATGTGAAATGCAATCATGAAATTATTAACAGAAAAAAAATGATAAAGACAAAGCAGAACTTTTAGGTAAACTTTGCAATAAGAATTCAAAATGTATATTCAATATAAACACATTATAATTAATCTTAAACTAATGCTGTATACAGTTGAATGGTCGATGATAAGGAATAAAGTCTATGATATGATATTAGCACTGCATGATCTATGCAAAGACTCATAGGATAGATTTGTTTAACCAAGATGTCCTAAAGGATAAAGTGGTGTATAAACAAACCTCTGCTTCGCCAATATGCATTTGACAATGGTCACCCTGTCTAGAGGGAAAGTTAGCCTTGTGTAAGCTGTAAGTCACAACATGGAGCTTACACAGGGCTGAGGACTTTTTTATCACTCCACTCACCATGCACCAGTGCTGGCACGTGGGAGAAAAAGCAGTGAGTCACATGCTTCCCCAAACCTGGAAGTACCCAATATTTCTAATCTCTCCCATCATTTGGAAGGAGTAGCAGGGGAGTGAAGGGAAGGAGGGTATGTGCTGTTGGTGGGGCTACCATGAAACTCAACTCCTTACTTAGGCAAAGCACAGGTTCTCTTAAGGCCATAGACTAAGGATATGTTCACACAAGCTTAAAAAGGGTGAATAACATGAATTTTTCATACCTTTTAGGTGACCTCCAACTGCCAGGCCTGAATAAGTGAATTATCCAAACAGCTCAGTGCACATTTCCATAGTTAATGGGCGTTGCATAGCCTTGACCCAAATGCAATGTATATTGTTCTGGGTGAACATAGTCTCACTCAGCTGCTAATATGTGTTCACCATACTGATTTGTTTAGGAATCTATGTTGTTTGTCACTTGTGACTGTACTGATTCTAATCTACTCCATGTAAACTTGTTCTTTATCAGCTACTGCTGTCCACAATAAAGATCATGGATAGACAAAGAGGCTGGACAGTGACTGTATTTTGCTCTTTGGATGCCCTAGTATATTTTTCACATTCTCAGGAAGCAAAAGTGATAAGTCCTCTGTAGGATTTGCTGTACATCTGACAATTTGAGGAGCTCACTAAATAGGGCCCATCCCAATGGCAAAATTCACAAACTGCTCAACCTTGGTGTATACTATTAAAGGTGATTTCTTCAATGTATTACTGTAAGTTGCACTCATCTGAAAAAAGGTAAAGTGCAATATCATATAGCACCATAAGCAATCACTCCATTATTTTGACAGTTTTCAGATGGATGAACCATCAAATCCAGCTATTGCTGTCAAATACTGTACTACCTCACTGTGGCTCTTTGTATTAGGCCCCTTCTTCGGGACGCAGAAGCGATCTGGCGACAGGTAAGTCGCCAGGATCGCTTCTGTTGTAAAGCCGACAGTCGGCTCTACAAGTTTAAACAGACTCCCGGCGGCAAAAGTCGCCGGGAGTCTGTTTAAACAGCCCCCGATGCTGGCGACGTACACTGTACGTCGTCAGTCACGAAGGGGTTAATAATGCCTCTATTTATAGGCTAACATATCATGTGGTTGGGATATCAAAGTGGAAGTAATGTGGAAGTTGAAGCCCATGGTAAACAAAAGTACACACGCTCTATTAAAAAAAAAAAAAGAATTTGCCCTGCCCATTGGGTTTAGGCTAGATCTCCAGAACATGTTCTAGTAAAGGAATCACAATCTATGTTAGTGTAAGATTTCAGTGAACGCCAAGCTCAAAGCAAACTATACTAGAGATCTGTTTCTGCAAAAATTCCAGATGTTTTCTGTCAAGGGAAGCAAAAGCTTTAACTCACAAGTGAAAGCTGACACATTCCC